CATGGATGTGTACTGATGAAAAGTTCTAAAAGAGGACAAAACAGTTGTTCAGTGTCCATCAGTGGTTCATCGGTGGAGTGCTCGGTTACCGGCCGACGCACACCTTTACCCGACTGCGAGAAAAGATTGTGTGTGACGCTGGAAAACCCACCTCGTAGAAAAACAACACCACTGCTACTGAAACTTCAAAGCTCAAGCTAGAAGCCCTATTTCCCACTCGAAAATCAAAGGAATAAAATCAAATCATAAATACTGATAAGTACTGATAGTCGCTAAACAAACCTCAAATAGCATGGTGGCCACATTGCAAGCTTGATTGATACAATTCAGTCTGCAGCGAAGATGGGACTAGACACAATACACTAGCTACCAATTAGTGTGCAATCAAAAATATCCAATACAGTCCTACAGGAGGTCAATCGCGAGCCTGAATAGCTCAGCGGTGACGTCTCTGACTGAAGCACTGGGTGACGCGGGTTCGAATCTCAGAAGGGAAATGAGTCCCTGCAAGGTTGCAGATATGCCTTAATGACTGGTGAGTGCCGACTAGCACGAATCCTAGGTCCAAGGCTTCCTGCCAATTACCTCCAACCATCTAATACAAACTTCAAACAGGTTTACTGTTGATTGAGTTTTATCATCCAACATTAAGTGTATACTTTAGTGTATGTTTTTGCACTTCATGAAGTGTAGATTAACTCAAATAATGGATTATCGCTCTTAGGTATGAGAAACAAAAAACAACATTATAGGATATTTAAAATGGAGAATAATAGAAGAAGAAGAAGAAGAATTAGACCCCTTAAAACTGTTCTAAAAGGAATCGTATTACATCATCACTTCTGTTCACTTCCTGTTTAAAACATACATACACTACTAGTCAATGAATATTGTAGGTTATTTTATCAATTTCCAAACCATTATTTTTATGTATGATAAATTAGGCATATTTATGTTTATTATTCGTTCAATTAAACAGTTGTTTGTTTTTGTAAAGTAGATCCAACATTCATATTCGTATTTGTTCATTAAATTAAAGATTTTGCAACCCACCCCCTTTATCTCCTTTCGCATTTTGGCTTATTCTCCTACTTTTCCCCTTCACATTCTTGTCATTTATGGTGGAAATGAAGCATTATAATGTGATGTGATGCCAATCTGATCTTATATACGCATACATATATACTCTTAAACTGGGTGTTTTTGGTGAATTGACAGAAAGGAAACTATATAGATATTTTCTAGTTGCTGTTAATTTCTTTCATTATATATTCATGAAACCACTTTTATAACCAATTTATACTTGTTGAGTGCGTCTGTGTATATGTGTGCGTGTGTGCGCTCGCTGGCGTTCTTTCCTGATGGATTACACACCAGATTCGATATTAATGCTTAGTTATCTTGTGGTATTCGTGTTGTCTGTGTTTTTTTATATAGCTTTCACTTTTTTTTCTTATTCTATCACGATGGCAACAGCACTTGGTGTTGTTACACATGTATCTATATAACACGTGCACATTTACACACATGCACATATTGGCTTTCTTCGTTATCACCTTTAGATTTTATTTTTCGTCAGATACCTGATATAATCTACTGACTTTCAAGTTACACCGTAATTATATTATCGTTTTCATCGTGACTTTTTACCGTTGTTTTTTTTCTCGAAAAGTGCAATTAGTCTTTAAAATGTGTTTTTAAAAAGACATCGGAATTGACTGACTGACTACTTTCAACGTAGAATTTTGCACAGATGTTCAGCATTTTTTAGTTACCACACTCCCTTCATGTAGCATACAAAGCAAGAGAAGAGAGTAAATAGAGATTCAAAAGAGAGAGAGAGTTTACAGAAAATGAGGTCAAAAAGAGCAGTAGTAATATGGAAAACCTATAGAATTTTATTGGTTATTATCAGTCACAAGGAGTGGATGCATCTACGCCATCATTAGAACGATTTTGAGCCATATTACCAATTGTTTGCATCCATTGGTTTTTACCGTCTCGAGGACCCCAACATCTCTCTACGTGACTGGCTGGCTTAAACTGTTATGGATTTCATTGACCGGTGAAGGCATGTTTTAGTTTGATCACCACCAGCCTTCTCTTTTCTAACGCCTGACCCATCCTATGTCAGATAAAATTGCCTGATGTCGAGAAAGGCGATATTTAGGCCAGGCATGAGTAACACATGTCCTAACTATCTCTCTCAGTTGATGTAAATACACAACCTCATCGATTGATTTCCCCTCCTTACCTAGTACTCGACGTCTAACCTTAATATTGCTCACCTTGTTATACCATTTAATACGGGTGATAGAACACAGACACCTATGATTAAAGATAGTTAGTCTTTTGACTTCTTCCACTTTCAACGGCCGTGTCTCACTGACAGCCGTAAAGGAGAACAGAGAGAACTGTACTGTTGAGCAGTACATACACCGTTCGGTCGATATTGAGATTGACTTTCATTATGTTAACTGTTTCTTTGATAACAGTCAGTATAACTTGTAAGTTGTGAATCCTAATTGGGAATGACGATGATATAACACTATGCTGTACACTGACTAACATTAATTGCATACTGTGTATTACGGCTTCTCCCCAATCGACCAATAATGTTGAATAATTACTTGAAATATCAGATAATCTGACTGTGAACAAATTTCAGCGTTGTCATATCTGTATTGTTGTCAGTATATGTGTGTTATTTGATAGTTTCATCAAGGTTGGGTGTTAGGACTGGCAGTCCATTGAAATCGTCAATTGACGGGAGTTAGAATTCATGAGCTACTGAACTCTGCCCCAGTGGCTATATGATCAACGCGTTAGTCTCGTAACCTGAAGGTTCTGGGTTCAACTCCCTAGTAAGGTCATGGATGCTTACTGATGGGGAGTCCCAAATAAGGAGGACAAAACAGATGCCTAGTACTGTTTGGTTTTCGATGGTTATGTAATATTAATATCAGTCAGTGATCAACCGTTAAACGTACTTTCCCTCTGCATGTATAAATTTCAAGGGACAGGAAACATCTTTCATCTGGAAAGTTATGTATACGATTCTCAAGGGGAAATTAAAAAAAATTTATCCTTCAACTTCATGGTTTCATGATTTTCAAATAATAAAACATACAATTTTTGAAACAGTTCATTTCAATTTAACAACCATGAATCGTTAAAAATGGTTCAAAGCACTCCCCAAATATATTTCAGATTTATTCACAGAATACGGACAATCCCCATTTTTTTTGTTTGCAGTTAAAACTCGTGTCCTCTGTGGCTTAGTGGACAACGCTTTGACGTTTGAAACAATGAGTTTCAGGTCTGAGTCTTGGTGGAAACATCATCTATCACTCACTGAGAATACAGGTACATCCAGCTGACGAGTCCCTAACAGGAAGAAATACATATCCTAGATTCCAATGCTAACCACTATCAACCAAACCAAGACCGTGATAATCTTCAGACGTCATCTGTCTGTCCGCACTAGGAGTCGACTTCTCAACAATGACTGAATATAACGGTCCAGTAGAAATCAGTCAACTGGCGATACAAAATAAACTTAAGCATTTTAATTTATGTAATGTTTCGATAGTCTAAGCATTTTAATATGGCAGATAATAAATTGAAACCACCAAATTAATAATTTATAGACATTTACTTGAAAATTGTTCCGATTAGCTGTGTATACATTTTGAATCTCAGCCACATATATATTAACTAGCACAATATAAAGCTTAGGAAAAATACACTATGAATGCTTTCCTGATTGCAGTAGATTGGATAATGAGACAGACAACGGGTAATGAGGAAACAGGCATAAAATGGACTCACACAAAAAAGTTGGAGGATCTGGACTTTGCCGATGATATATGTCTGATTTCCCACAAACTGGAAGGTATGCAAGTGAAAAGCAACAAGCTGGCGATAGAAGAAGCATCCAGAGAAGATAGGACTTCAAGTGAACATCGATAAAACAGAGGTGATGAAGATTCTTGGCCAACACCAACAACAACAGACAACAATCAGCATAAAAGGGAGGAACCTGAAAGAAACAACCTCCTTTACCTACCTGGAAAGCATCTTTTCAACTACAGGCGGATGGAACTGGTATGTCAAAGCGAGGATCGATCGGGAAAGCAAGACAAGCTTTCATTACTTTTAAGTTTGTGTGTAGGTCAACAGCACTCAGCATCAAAAATAAGATCCGGATTTTCAACTCCAATGTGAAGTCAGTACTACTATACGGATCAGAGACTTGGCGCGTCATAAGGAGCATCTCAAACAAACTACAGACATTCATTAACAGTTGTCTTCGCTCAATACTCAAGATCAGATGGCCGGCCAGAAAAGATAAGTAACAAGGATCTCTGGCACTGAGCAAACCAACGCAGCAGGAACAAATTGTGCAACGAATGTGCAGGAGGAAATGGAGTTGGATTGGCCATACTCTGAGAAAACAAATCATCAAGTGACATCACTAGCCAGGCCACTACTCTAGTGAGACCTGAAAGGGAAGCGGCGAGTTGGTCGTCAGTGAGAGGGTGACTTGGACGAGGTCATGTGAAGAGAAGATGAAAGCATGTGGGCAAACTTGGAGCGGAGTGAAAAAATTGGCAGGAAACCGAATGCAATGGAGACGCGTGGCTGAAGCCCTATGTTCCTCTAGGAATTAAAGGATATAATAATATAATAATAATACTCTTACTCTTCTATTTTTCTAATTATGGATTTTGCTTAAAGAGCGATCACTAAACAACTATGCAGTCAGAAATAGGAAAGAAAACACTCAACAGCTCTTCTTGCTTTTCTCAGCTGTGAAATAAGGTTGGATTTAGAGACTGTGGAAGCCTACGACTTTTAGAGGAGTCTGTGTTTTCCACAAGAATTACCAGCTGTAAATATTGGGTCTTTATTATTATTATTATTATTATTATTAGAATAATTAGTTTCTAATGTATTCTTTATCATTTAATTTTGTTTATTATTTATTTGTTTATCAGATATTTTATTGGGAAGAGGTCATCAACCCAGTCAGACATCTGGTACATCAAGATCAGCAAGTTATCGTCGTATTGCTCGTGCTCGTTGGCATCATTCAATGGGAAGTGTACTTGCCTCAAGCTCGGGTATCACAGCATCAGGCAGTGAAGAGAACTTGACTGCAGTCAGTAATCGAACATCTCTTTCTCATCAGCATTCAGAAGATCTTACAAGTGGTGCCGGTAAATCCTCTCCTTCTTCTGGTAAACCCAGTCAAGCTCCTAAATTGAGTAGATTTCGAGTATCCAAAAGAAGGTCAAGATTTTCTTATACACCTCCTGCACATATCGCCTCTGAGCCAGAAACGGATTTGACTTGGGAAAACCATGACTGCAGTCATGAACGTCGTCATAGTCGCCCTAGCCACTGTATATCACCTGGTCATCTGAAACGAGATTTTCCACACGAGTCACCGTTAACCTCTGTATGTACTGTTCGACATACAGACAGTCGGTCTCATTCGCGTCCAAGACCACGATCAGTCTCCTCGTCAACTTCTAAACTAGCAGGCTTTTGGAATTCTCTTGTATCAGGTGCAGGGATTGGCAATAGTATAATACCGAAACCTCAACTGCAGCATCATCCATCGAGCTCTGCAACGTAAGTAACATTCTAGCGCTGTGTTATACTTGATGTTTATAAACACTTTAATTTTTAAGGCATATATATTAATAACACACACTTAAAATTAAAACTATGTTCATTATTATTTTATTTTTCCACCCCCCACTTAGACCAACAACTGTTAAACAAGTGAAAGGACATCGTAACTTCTTACGTAACAGCCGTCACACCGGTGAAACACAAATGGGTTTGGTAAAATCACGTTCCCGTAAATCAAAACATTCCAAATCCAATACAGATGTAAATGATGGCTTAATGAAAATATCTCCAAGTTCCTTTCTCAATCGTCCACATTCTGAAGGTAATTTCTATGCAGTTAATCCTGCAATCATTTTTTTATACAAAAAGCAATGATTTACTATTACCGTCAGGTATATAAACTTAGTTTTGGAGAGTGTGTTAACACTCAGTATATATTAAATTTTGTTTTGAGCGATTAACACACTTTATGATCAGAAATATATCGGTCTGAATTGTGCAGGTTACACTACTACTACTACATACGGGAACTTGTTTGCAGTCATTTTTAGAAGCTCTTAGTCAACTCTGTTTTCTTCTAACATCCACCTTTCACTCGATATCTTGCTTTTCACTATTTATTGTCACTAAATTTACTAATACTCTTATTCTTTAACATGATTTTACCATATCTATCTGTTCATCTTCACTTTGTTTCCAGTAATAACATTCTTTCTTTTCCATTGTCTGCAATCTACGAATGTTTGGCATGCGATTTGCTCCCGCCAAATGTAAGATGATGGTATAGGACTGGACTACACTGACTCCTAGCTTAGAAATAGTGGGTGAAGTGGTAGAGCACGTTGACCACTTCACTTATTTGGGAAGTACCATCAGCCCCAACGGGTTGATCACTGACGAAATCTCAGCACGGATACAGAGGGCTAGTTTCGCATATGCCAGTTTACTCCGTCTCTGGCGTAGACGTGATATCTGGCTATCGATCAAAGGGTGGGTGTACTGCTCATCAGTTCTCTCCTTCCTCCTTTATGGCGGGCTGTGATACCTGGCCATTGAGAGTGGGAGACATGAAAAGATTAGCTGTCTTTGATCATAGGTTCCTGCGCTCTATCTTCCGTGTGAAGTGGTATAATAAGGTGAGCAATATTGAGGTTGGGCTTCGAGTACGGGGTAAGCAGGGGAAAACAGTCGATGAGGCTGTGAAATTACATCGAGAGAGATGGTTAGGACATGTGTTACGTATGCTTAGTCACTGCCTTCCTCTACGGGCAATGTTAGCTGATATAGGGTCAGACTGGAAAAGAGCCAGTGGCGGTCAAACGATAACATGGCTTTATCAGTCAATGAAATCCACAACTGTTAGTTTAAGCCAGCCAGTCACGTAGAGAGATGTAGACTTTCTGGTTGGGGTCCTCGGGACGGTAAAAACCAACGGCTGGAAACAATTGGTGATATGGCTCAAAATCGTTCTCAGTGGTTGGCGAAGATGCATCCACTCCTTGTGACTTATGATTTCCAGTGAAACTATTGTTCTCCGTTATTACTATTCCTTTGTCTCACACCTCTGTTTACTGTCCTTATTATGCATTTCTTCTACTTTCTTCTCTTGCTTTGTGTGCTACATGGAGTGTGGCGACTTGAACTGCCGCACATTGGTGCAAAGTTCTATGTCGAAAACAGATAGACAGACCATTGTCCTGGCGATGGTGTTGTTGGCGTCAGATATTTGACTGTTAGTATTGTTAACTGGAATTTGAAACAACCTAACATAGCACATTAGCATATGTATGCAAACTTATCTTGTTGATGAATAATTATGTTAAAATTGTTAGTGTCATCTAATATAATTCTGTCTATAAAAAGAAGTGAATGTGAATTAGTATGCTCATTTCGAATTAGTTCATCCATCATACTAATGTATATGGTTTTTTACGATTGAAGAACCAATAGGGTGATAATGGCATCTAATTAACCGTAATAACAATTCTTGAAGTCAAAAGGATACTTCTACAAAATCACGATCCAGAACAATCAATAGGTCAATTAGACATAATGATCAACAGTAAATGTTATAATGTGAATTAGCTTTTTCAGTTTTTACAAATTTATGTAAAACACTCAGTTAGATAAATGAACTATTCAGTTGATTAATCGAATTCAAATAAGACCTCTGTAAAAGTTGGAAGATAGAAGACAAAGGAGACAAATAGGGTTTATTTTGTAAAAGTAGTTTGTTGGCAGATTGACTTACGTAGTGCAACAAGAGGTTATCTGATTTTGGAAGGTTAGAGATAACCTCTAGGAAGCCTTGGATCCAGGTTCAGCAAGGCGTACATGCATCACTAAACCAACTGATATCCCGTCGGCGACTCAAATCCACTTCACAAAGTCCTTCAGTCAGAGACGATACTACTAAGCTATTCATATTCACGTTTGCCCTACTGTAGAACTGTAAAAGATACGGTGACTGGTCGCTAGGAAGTAACCAGTGTCAATGAAATGTATTTAGTCCCTAGTGTTGGTACTAACTGAATTTTATCAGTTGAGTTTTGCAATGTGATCATCAAGCTAGTTGTCTCGTTACAGTGATGCGCTTCAAATCCGTGTTAATTGTTTAGAAGCGGTTGACAGGACGTCCTGGACCTAAATCTTATGCTTATTATTACTCTTCAGTAAAGCTTATCTTAGACAGTATCAACCCGATAAACTAGATAAATAATATTGGTTACGCCCTAATAGTCGATCAATGTTATGTAATGTTGATGACTAGGACAACGAATGCAAATGGTGGGTTGATGCTATAGAGGGTAGTTGCTTCCGTTGTGTAATGTAGGCAGATATTTAGTCCATATAATAGATTAGCTGGTATATGATCGGCTAAATGGAGATGGACTAGTCATTCGCTGAAGAGACCGTTGAGTGGCATTACTCGCCAGAGCCTAAAATGAACCCCAAACGGGTAACTATGAGTTCGGCGTGTGTTCCACTTGATGAAGAAATAAAATCTATGAGAAATTGTGAAGCCAGCCAAAAATGACTGAAGAGAACAAAGGGTTATGCTGTTGAAGCTCTATGTCCCTTTAGGAACCCTTGAGGATAATAATAATCGATAAGTGTAAAAATATGGAGTTTTCTTTTATTGTCCACATCTTTTCCCTACGTTATCTTCTTCGTTTCATCACTTGGCAATATTTATACCAAGATTTGTAGTGTAGTTTAATACTCACTTTCTCATAACATTGTTTTTACCAAAAGAAAAGACCACAGATAAATTGTCTACCTTTATCTGTTGATGGCTTTTTTTTGTTTTTCTAGAGTTACGTTTGGCTGGTCTACTGAATTTACGTGATCCCAATATAACACGTTCACCATCACAACTTGATACAACCAATGTTACAAATATCAGCAGTGCCTATCGACGTAATTCTCCTGCACCTGTTAACAAATTAACCAATTCACAACGATATGTTACCGGTGGGAAATATGTTGGGTCTCAACGGATCAATGAAGATTATATATTGCCATCAACTAATAGTACGCCTCAATCGCATTCTCAATCACCGAATAGAATAATTCATAATCGTTCCTCTTCATCACGTAGTTTTGGTTGTGTTGATTCCTATCAAAAGTTAGATGTTCTTGGTGAAGGATCTTATGCAACTGTATACAGAGGATATTCACAGTAAGATAATATCACTTTTTACCTCAAGTTTAATTTTTTTTCTTGGTAACATTTTTTTAAACCTAATCCACTATTTAATGATAATAACGTTAATAATCATAGTAATCGTGTAATAGCAGAGGATAAGAGAGTTGATAACTGCCCTTTTTTTATCAAGGAAAACTGTCCCGATTGGCTGGCGATTGGCCCAAGGTCAAACAAAATGGTGGAAAGTTGTCCAATGAGATTTATTCCTAAACCACAAAGTAAACAAAGTCCAGATTTTAGGAATAAACACTTTCATCCTTTCATCCATTGACTTAAAATGTGGATTTCAACTTTTGACCGATTAGTATTCATCTGTATCTGTATAGCACACATACCAAAATAGTAGATTACCAATATTCCTGTACATATGGACATAATCAACTGAATGAATCAAAAAGTTATTCAAAGTTTTCGTTTAAATGCCTTATAGACTATATTTTGTCTGATCATTATGAAAAACAAATGACTTGTCGGAACAAAACATTCTTTTTCTTCCCATCTGTTACTTTGCCTTTAGGGTTTCTCATGGTAATTTATATTAAAATAATATTATCTGTCAGAAGAAAAGTAGATTTTCCTCCTGTATACCATTAATTTTACACTCAATCTGTTTCAGTTTATAATATTTAAAAAAACGTGTTATTTGCTGTAAATCGTATTAAACTTTGCGTACATACTAATAAAATTAATGATCAGAAAGTTTTTCCCAAAGATTCTGTTGTGAGTTGCATAGGGTGTAAAGGTAGTTGGACTGAAAGAAGAACAACTCTGATTCATTAAGCTACTGACTGTTGGTCTTATTCATATCGATAGATATCAGATAATTGCCTAGAGTCTTTCAGTTGTTACGACTCCATAGTCAAATATGTTTAGAGACAACTCTGAGTGGTTCACAATGGTCCTACTGCGATTGACTGACTGGTTTCTCCACATAGAACTTTGCACCAGTTCGAGTAGCCACACTCTATGGAGCACATAAAGCATAAGAAGAGAGTAAAGAGAGATGATAAACGGAAGTGTGAGGGGAAACGAATGGTAGCATGGGAAAACAGTACATTTTTATTGGGTATTATAAATAACAAAGAGTGGATGTATCTGCGCTACCCATTGAGAAAGATTTTCGGTCGTATCACCAATTGTCTGCAGCCTCCATAAGTTTTACCATCCTGAGATGCCCAACCAGTAAGGAAGTCTTCACCTCCTTACGTGGTTGGCTTAAACTAACTGTTGTGGATTTGATTGACTGATGAAGCCATGTTTTGGTTGGACCACCATTAGCTCTCTCTTTCCCAACCTGATCCATCCTACGTCATTTAACAATACTGGTCGAGGAAAGTGATGTCTAGACTAGGTATGCGCAGCACACGTTCTGACTATAAGATTACGGCAGACTATAACAGTCGATGTCAAAATCAAAGCGACGATCAAACAGATTAGGAGGCACATATGCGAAGACTGGCTTATCAGCTAATCGATATATGAAGGTAGAATACAACCATTTCGCTCACCTGTATACTCAACTAACCATAGGCTCTTTTTGTGTAGCCTTCTCTAGCCTTGTCTCCTCTCCTCTTGACCTGTCTATTCTTCCAACACTGTCCAACGACAGAAATAAGCACACAATCGTATAGCTAATAATTTACACTAATATCCTTACTAATCAATCAACCCTATTCCTATTACGCCTCAACAATATACACTATTTACACGTGCGTCGGTGGCACAGTGGTTAGGACTCTCGCCGACCATGCACATGGTCCGGGGTTCGAGCCCACGCCGGCGCACACATGATATCTATGGTCGGCCTGCAAAATTTGGGCTACCGATATCCATGCTGAAAATTCCATACTTGTACCAAAAATACAGTGTGGAATCAAGCTGTAAATCAAATAAAAAAAAAAAATAAAAAAAATAAATGTATCTCCTTTTTACGATCAACTAAACTTTGAAACATTTTACTGGACCTCATTTACTATAGTTTGGTTTGTAGGGGTTAGTTATGTTTTTACGAGTTGATCACGAATTGATATCAGTTAGAGAACCATTGAAAACCAGGGAGTACTGAACAGCTGGGTTCGAATCCCAGTGGGTGCGTACTGCCGATGATTCCCAAACTAGGATGAAACAGCAGCTGTCCAGTACTTCCTGGTTTTCAGTGGTCCTCATTTAGTATTTTTTCGCCTTTCCTTTTATCAGACTCGTATTCATCCATCGCAAGGTCTTTCTTCATCTGCTCTATTCTTTTCTTATATTGCTGAGATGTATGACAGCTTTAATGTATGCTTTTTTCTACTGTGGTCTATTTACCTGTGTACATCTTTCGAAAGATGCCATAGTTTCTTTCAAGATCCTTATTAATTCTTGGCTTACATTTATCAACTGGAGATCTACTAACCTCCCCTCCCCCACACATACTTCCATTGGTAATCTTGGAAAAAGTAAGTACAAACATTGAAACAGAATAACATACGAGTGCATATTATTTTGTGTGGTGTCGTCTTCAGTTGTATATGACCAGTAACAATTACATACTATGAGTTGTAATGCCATTTCTATGATACTATAATTCATTAATGGTAATTGGTTTTCTAATAATGAATAGTATAACAGCGTTATAGTGAAGTAAAACATAAAAATGATAAGTTATGTGTTTGTTACAATTTTGTATCTAATTAGAACGTAAGTTCTTGAGAAAAAACTATTCAGGTTAGTGAAATGGAAAAAAGAAAAACGAATAAGATTTTGGTGAAGCAGTTAAATAAGTTAGGAATAATTGCGCAACAAAACATAACAATCAAATACAACGAGTAGAGCTTAAAAGATATAAGATTTTAAAATTGTTTGTTAGAAATCAAATTTAAGTATGTTGTAAATTGTAATAAATACAACAATTAGAGAGAGCTTAGAGGATTGAAATTATGAAAGTCAGTGGAAAAAGAAAATAAAATGACGCAATTAAGGTGTAGTCACAAGGGTAACTGAAGTCCAATGATAGATTTCTTTTGGCACTAACTAGGTATTATGCGTTTCTATTGCTTGTGTGTGCTTTCTGTTGACTATTCCCAATGTCCCCAAGGCGTTGACTCAGTGTTTTGTGTGCATTAGGCGTCTTGCTATTGAGGTAATGAAAACACTAAGTCGCTTTTAATCTCGTTCCCTCTTTCTTACATGCTCAGAAAATCTGATGGAAGCTTTATTACATAACGTGAAAATTATTAGTATAAACAGATACTCGAAACCCCTTATAGGAATATGTGAAAGCAAGGAAAGAAGTACGTTAATCAAACGACTTAAAACTACCACATAAAGTGATATCTACAAGTTAAGGTTGAAAGCAGGTTTTCATGTTCTATGAACACGTATTCATTCGTGTCAACGTTTTCATTATCTAGTGTGCTGTTTCCATGCTTGCTCTTCTTAATCAGAGAGAGAAAGAGATGACGTAGTGAAAAAATCTACTCATAAGCACACCCGTTTCAGCTACGACAATTCAGCGTACATGAAAAAAGTTTTCAAAAGTAAAATAACATTAACATGTGCAGACATGAACTAAAGAAAAAAAATAAATAAAGTTTTCGTTTTGTAGGAATTTAGTTTGATTGGTTGGAGGATTTCATTATGAGGTGACGTCAGTTAGATAACCAATGGGAAACCTGGGAGTACTAGAGAGCTGTTTCGTCCTAGTTTGGGACCCTTCATCGGCATACACGCACTGCCGGGGTTTAAACCCTGGACCTTCTGGTTACAAGGCGAGAGAGTTCGTAGACCATTAAGCCATTGGGACCCGATTAAATGACTAGTGCATAAATTCTAACTTCTGCCAAATCATGGCATAGCGTGACCACTACTCAATGTTCTTCATCAATGAGTTACTGCCTCACCTTCGCTAACTGATATCAATCCGTGGTCAAACTGGAGAAAACGAATCTAATCCCTACAAACCAACACTTGGTGAAATCCTCCAGCCAATCAAATAAATAAAGATTAATTTTCAAGTATTGGTTTTGTAGGGATTTAGTTCGATTGGATGGAGGATTTCATGATGAGGTGACATTATGATGAAACATTTGTCCAGTACTTCTTGCTGGTTTCCAATGGTTCTCTAACTGATAGCAATCCGTGATCAACTTGGAAAAAAAACTAAACTAATCTTTACAAACCAATTATAGAAAAGTAATTAATCTACATTGTGTGAATGGTTTCATGCCATTTCACTAAAAGTTTACAACTATTGACTCTTATCCGCATCCATTTGACTTTATACATGGCTCAGACTAATAACAAGATACAATTTTTCTGACTGTTTATACTTAAATCTTCCCCAAACTAATGCTTACTCTAAACAGATATGTGTAATGCACAGATCATTTGAACATAATTCGCATAGTACACACTAATACAGTATTTGTTTTATTGGATGATATTTCAAGCATTATTTATGGCTTATAATCACATCAAATTGATCATATAGTTCTCAGTTTTCTGAGCATATAAAGTTGTTGTTGAATCTTTATTGTTAAAGGTATTGACTGTTGTTTTGAAAGGTAAAGACTGACTCATCAACTTCTTCCTAAGTTAAATTGCCTTGTATTTTGAGACTTTTACTCTATTCCACTTTGTAGTGTGACGACTAACCTCAATAGGGTGTACAATATTGAGCTTAGGGGTCGAGTGCTAGGTGAAGAGGGGTAGTCAATAGACAAGGCTGTGAAGTTACATCGACTGAGATAGTTAGGACATGTGTTACGCATGCATCCCCGGCCATCGCCTTCCTTAACGGGCAATGTTAGCTGACATAGGGTCAGGTTGAAAAAGAGTTAGTTAGTGATTGCCAAACCAAAACATGGCTTCATCAGTCAATCAACTCCATAACAGTTAGTTCCAGCTATGTAGGAAGGTGAAGAGTTCCTCACTGGTTGGCTCCTCAGGACGGTAAATACTAATGTCTGGAGGCAGTTGTTGATATGGCTCAA